ATCATAACGATGTTCGTTACGTTTGTTTTAATTTGGAGAAAAAATCTTTCAATTACTTGAAATATATAGTATAATGTATTAAATGAGGTTAGGTTAGATCAGAAGAAAAATTCTTTATCGAACACTTTCTATTAAAGCGAGCAGAGAATATGGTCGAGCAAAATCCTTTTTGCGCCTTGTCTTATTCCACGTACGTACGTACGTTCATTATTTACGAGGATCAGAACGAGAATGCAGCGCAGAGATTTGATGACGTTTCAGCCATCCCCGCGACTGTGAAACATTAATGGCTAACGACTCGAGCGCGACTCTCGAACGCGCGAGAGAGATTGCAAAAGCACGTACGAGTCTCGTTGAGATGATTATCTTTCAACGGATACCTTGCAACAAATTACACTTTAATAATAACGATGATTAACTGATTCAATCGTTTCTAACATTATACATATCTCAAATATTGAACATTGTTGGAAATAGTAAACGACAGTATAGGTTGGCAATGCTGCGAGTAATTCTGCATGAGTTGGCAGAACTGAAAGGAAAAGAAGTATATGTGTATGTGTCTGTGCATGGTGTGTGATATTGTTCGTGTTAAAAAAGTGAAAATGAAAATTAAAAAGTTGTACTAAAAGTTATCTTTAGTTATTTAAATATATGTTCGATAATGTAGTTGTAAATTGTATTAAATACTATTGTCTAGTAATTTTCACCACATACAATACAAACTTTCGTCGTGATTTCACTGGAATTTCGACTACAATATCCAACAAACGTTCCCTTATTTATTCAACAGAAATATCATCAATGATCGAACTGTAATTAAAATCGGCAAATATAATATGCACCATCAACTACGAATAGTTCTAGTGCAAATATTATATCGCAAATAGTAGGATGAGTCAACAATTGTCCAGAGTATAATACTAACTTTTTACCGCGACTACACTGTGAATTGTGTATGCATCGTTAGATGTCACCCTCTCTGTTTTCCATTTGAAGTTTCAATAGCTCACTCCAGTCATTTGCTTTGGAGACATTAAGATGGCCGTTCCATTATTAGTGTGCACAACTGCACTAACTCTTTAAACTCTCGAGAAACTGTATTTTGTGATATTGAAACATCTCCTCCCTCTACAGTCTTAACCTCAACTTGGAATCATCATCTGTTTGGACCGTTCAAAACAGCCGTGAAAGGCCAAAGATTATCCGCCAATGAACAACCGAATACAGTAGTGCCCGTTTAGCGAATTACCGACTGTTTCTCTATCCCGGTTCGCTCGCTCTGAGTGCGAGTGAAATAAGAGACCTGGTGGGTAGAGTAAGAACTTTAAGTGTGAGTGAGACGTGGAACCGAACAGGGCAAAAAATGCAGCAGTTAAGCAAGTGCTACTGTGCTCGGTTCATGTTTCAACTAAAAACATTTTCTTCACATGTTACGACAAGGCTTGTGCATCGATGGAAAAAAACTGCGTTTGTAAATCAAGAGGACTATATTGAAAAATAATTGCAAAGAATATACCTGCTAGTGTTTTAATTAATTTCATAATTTTATTCCTCTATTGGCTTTGTATCTAATTAGCAACAGCAAAGAACACATTAATCTTTCGATCGCTTCGTGATAATATCACGGTTATTAATCACTTTGAGAAGCGGAGTCGAGGCAAGTTTGATAAAAAGAGGGAATATTTCACGGAGGAAAGGCGAAGAAGAAATTGTACAGACCCGTGGGGAGCAGCTGGAAAGAGTAGGTAAGTACGAAATCAGGGAACTCGTGCAATTAGTGTTCCGGGGAAACGATCTGGCGGAAAAGAGTTAAGGCGGGGGAGCGGCAGCCTGGCGGCCGGAAATTGGTGGAGTGTAACACTGAAAAACAACCAGAGCAGTTGGATGAAAGTTGAAGCTGTGCCAAAGTCTCCCTGCGCGTGGCCGGCGAATAGGAAAGGAAAATTGTTCATTTCATTACGCCTCCTCCCGCACGCCGCCTATCGAAATGGCCGGGGGAACGGTAAAAGTGAACGATCAAATTTATTTTACCTTCTCTTTTTTCTTTTTTTGTGAACAAAAATTATTCTCTACTATGTGTGATTGTGACGTAATAAAATATTGCATTGGTTAACTTCTGGATAAAGATAAATTTATACGTATATAACATGTTTTTTTTTTTACACTTGACATTTAATTGTTGCTTTCTGAAAAAAATTTGTTTTAGGTAAACGAGGAAAAGTGAAATATGATAATACTAGTGATAATTGAATTTTTTGGTGGGTGGTATAATAGAGTGAAGTGGAAGATGTCTGATCAAGCGTTGACTCGTACTACTTGGCAGATATCTGAGTACCAGCAACATGGATACAAGACTGACAAATACCGAATTTATATTTTCACTAATTTTACATCTGCACAGTTGAAACAGTCCCAAAATAAGTTCAACAAAATCAACACTACTCACTGTTGATCAGTAAAGATAAAATTGTTCGCTAATTAACAAACTAGCCACAACTTACACAATTTGCAACAAAAATGACCAAATACAAGAAGCGTACGTGCTGCAGCACGCTCTCCGTTCAAAAGGAAAAATGTCTCGCGTTGAAATTCACAAAAACATCGTCTAAATAAAAAGAAAAACAAAGGGACAAAAAAGTGCTGGTATTCTGAATGAAACCACTAGAATTACGAGTCGCGTGTTTTTTCCCCTGGTTGAAAATCGTGGCTCGCGTCGTTCGAAAGACAAAAAACAAGCGAAAGAAAAGAAAAGGCTTTTTCTCGAGGGAAAGAACACGACACGTAATTCCAGTGGGAAAAGAAGAAAACGAAGGGAGAGAGGTCCGACCTTTGTAATAAAAGAGGCAGTACTCGGAGAGGACGAACCACCGTTTCTTCCAGAGCATCAGCCCCTCGGAGCCCTGTTTGTGTAGCCAGCCCTGGAGGGCGACGGGGGCGGAGAGTGGCCTCTTCGCGGCGGGCGATCGTAAACCCTGCGAGCCGCTTCGTCTGCGTACCCCAGACACGGACGCTGCCACCACCCCCGAGCCATCGTTCTTGCTACGCACCTGGACAGGCACGGGTAGCGGCGCCGCCTGGACAACCTGCAATCATTTTATCTTCCTTCATATGTGCTGCGTGACATCGTCGTATTGTTCTTCGCATAGAAACGTACTTTATGCGTGTGTGTGTGTGTGTGTGTGTGTGTGCATGTGTTTGGCTCTTTCAGATAATAATCTTTTTCAATTTTTACATTGGTTTTATATAGGTTAGAATGGGTTCTATGGACAATATGAATGTAATGTTTAGTTTTGAAGGTTGGGTATGTGTGGTAACAATATTTTGCAATTTTGACATTGATTTTACATAGGTTAGGAGGATTCTGTGGACAATATGGATGCAATGATAGTAATATCAAGGTGAGGATAAGGGAGAGAAAGAATTCGGACCGTAAATACGATAAAGGTGAACTGACACGAAGATTGAGAACCACTGTATCTGTATAGAAGGGGCAGAAGGACACCGTTGGTCACTCGGACACCGATCGCTTGTTTTTCAGATTGCATAGTGCGCCAAATATTGACACAGAGTCAAGAGTGAGCGTGGTAGAGGAAAAAGTATAGCCTTTGATTTAACGCAGAGATACATGTGCACTCAGTCTACAGTAAGATTAAACGCAAAGCTAGCACCATCGCATGCATATCCTTCATCAGGTTCTGTTTTCTAACGATAAACTAATATTCCCATTAACCCATCAACTACCATGTTTGCCTTCCTACATTTGGCCTTTATTATCAATAGACTGCTGCATAACTTCCAATTACTGGAAATTCTAGCAGCAATTATCGCTAACAAACGATCTGAAATTAGCAACGTTATGACTGAAAGGGGACTAATTGTGTCTGTAAAGTGAATCCTATGCTTCTTAATAAATTACTCTTCTTAATCTACATTTGGCGAATATTCTAGTACAATAGTAACTTCTTAGAACGTCCCAAGCAATTTTTAAAAAGGATGGAAAGTCCAGGAGTCCGTAATTTACCAATAGTAACAATTAACACTCGATCATTTCAAATTTCCCGCGTATTTCTTTCGATAAATTTAGACGCCATTCGTAAAACTGATCAAAGTTTATTTTAAATACTAGTGAACACACTGTTACGAAGTGCTGAAATTATGTTACATCACAATGACTCTATGTATCTTTCAAGCTCATATTACCCAAATTATCTTCTGTTCAACAGTTGTTTTCGCATATCACACACATTTAACAATGAAAAAAATTACACGTCTCCGTGGTTGTTCGAAAAAACTTTGCAAATTGAAAAACCCGTGAAATGAAAAAATTTCAATATCCAGATTATTTCGCGCTAGAGATCACAATAGCAATACACGCAGATAAACCATCTAGTGGCTTTGACGTAGCAATTTAACCCGTGCCACGGCAAGTTCGCCGTGGATAATAGAAATATTTATCTCGCCGATACCGTGCAATAAATTCCGAACCAATTTACATAATTGCCCTCTCCCGGAAATTTGGATAATTGGAAGTGATTATCATTTTCGTTAGAACGGCGGCCTCGGGTACGAAAGCAACTAGGCGAAGATCACGCGCGCGATTCCGTCGGCCAAACGAAACCCCAGTTGCAAATTCGACCGACCACCATTGTCAATTAAGCACGTAACTTTACACGTCAAACTTTACCGTGAAACTGACACAACTATCGTAATTCAATCTTCGTTCCTGATATTTACGCAATTTGTAAATCCGCCTTTATATTCTCATTCGAAACATGTGCTTTGTGCGGGGCAACGTGCTATTTGTAAATTGAATTTCTTTATACACTTTTCTATTTGTAAATTGAATTTTTTTCACTCTTTTCTATTTGTAAATTGAATTTTTTTCACTCTTTTCTATTTGCAAATTGAATTTTTTATACTCTCTCAAATCATCCTTTCGCTGTTCCATAGTTTTCTACGAATTCCAATTTCAATTTTTCTATAGCACGCTACGGTTCGCACTCGTGACAAGTAGCGTTGCGTGAACGTGAGAATTCGACAGACATATTATTCTCTGCTCTCGCGATAACTTGATTAAAAGGGTCTTTTGTAGGGTGAAATAATTACAGTAGTACACACATAAGCATCCGCATTTTTGCACACTTAAGCATCCGTCGCTATCCCCACCAATTCTTGGAAATGGGACTTCGCAGTGGAGTTCGAGCGTGCCAAGTGAAACAAAGTAATTCGATATCGACTCCTGAATGTGAACAACTGACACTTGATACATCGGTATCCCACTAAGGCACATCTCTCTTTTCTTTAGTTAAATTCGTAGAAGTCACCTCCCCACTTAGACGTCTGTATTTGGTCCCGACTGCGAACGCTAATGTGTGCACTACTGTATTACTTGATGTTAAGAACACATAGTCAAATAAATATCAAGCGTCATCATGTGGTTCAATTTAATATTAAGACATGTTATTTCTTTCATTATACGTCTAAGAATCGAGGAAAAAAAGTCGAGGGGACCCCATCGGGAATCGAACCCGCAACCTCAGGCTGGCAGGCCGAGACTTTACGCACTACGCTAATAACGTCTTCTGAACTTTTTCTCGTCGGTGTTCCTTATTAAGGCACGGAGGCCCCGATCCTACATGTTTTTTACCAATGTAAATATTCTTTGTTCCTTACGTTACGAGTTCGGTGATTTATCAGTTTTTCTATGAAAACAACGATTTTACAGCACAATTTTTGTTCCGTTCCAACACTATTAGACCAATTCCAAACTTTTGTTTCACGTTTTAGTTAAAACATCTATAAATCAATTACGGCACATTATTCCTACACTATTTTTTCCAATTACTCCTAAAGATGTCGTTAGTATCGATGACGCTGATTAGGTTAGGTTGCCCATACTACGTAAATTCAGAGGGTTGTGAATATTCTGTTGGAAACAAAAGACCTGTCACAGTTCAGAAATGACTAATTACATTGTTAGAGCGTCCGTTATGAATGAAAAAACGTAATATCGATTGCACGACGGAAATTTCTTTCGAAACATCGCTGTCACAGATGGTACAATGAAATTTTCGTTAAAAACATGAATGACGGAACGGGAGAAAAGCATAGAAATGGTCAGTTTTTAGAGAGTAACTTGGCTTATGGGCGAGTTCTCGATTGGAAGGTAAGCGGAAGTGCAGTGTCATGTTGTCTTCTAAGCGACAGGTTTCTCGATGGCTGATCAGGAGTCGCTTTTCCGCTTCCTGTCCAGCCAAGTTACCGCGAAAATTTATCGACTACCCGTAAAATCTCACGTTCCCTGGTTGTAAAACGAGGAGAAAAACGACGACGTGCAGAGCTTTCGTAGCGGGTGTTTACGGAAAAATGATTATTAAGAAAATGCATAATATTAAGTGAATCAAACTTGACGAGAAGAAAAATGGAAAATAGATCTTTTAAGAATGAAAAGTTAATTTTTTAATATTATTCTGTGGATTTGGTTTTAATAATATGTTGTGAGTGATGGCGTGAATGTCGTGTGTTTGTTTTGAATTTGAGTGAACATTCTAGGATAGACATGATCTATGGCTGATACTCGAATCGACTCGAGATTGGCGAAACGGGCAGTGTCCTAGAGAGAAGCAGTGAGTAAACAGTAGAACCGCGTTGTTAATGAAAACAAGGAGAGCGAGAGCGAATAAGAGAGAAAGAATAAGAGAGCATTGTTCAGGTTATTAATATTCCCTTTTATGTATCGTTATCGTCATTGTGCAATTATTATTATCAAATAATATTCGTATTAATCTTTCAACCACGTGTTATTCACCCACATATTCTTCTTAGGGATGCGGACAAGAATATAAAACATATAATTATTATGTAGCTAATTAACCCTAGCCTAGTGGTGTTCTTCCGTTCGACTACAAAGACCAAACTAGGGTTAAGTTTATTGTAAAAAAAGAAATCTTTAGAATATAACCATTACAGTCAACCAAACAGAAAAGCTAGTAATATGTAGACAATAAAGTAGACAATTTACAATTCGATCACTTGGTTATAGAAGTGAAGCCCATTACTAAACCGTCCGCCATATTCACCGAAATCGATGGATCGATACTAGCGCCACTCGAGGGTCAGCGCACGAATAGGTCTACTAGTGAAGTAGTGACCGAAGTAGTGAGCTTCGACTCTTCGATTTTTACGATAGAGTCGAACCCGGCTAACGAGCTGGTCGAAACGAACAGCCGTAATCGGCATCTCGAGAAGGAAAATTCACATTGCATAAAGCCGTAGACTGATTTCCCCCCCAAAAAACACACTGCTTCTCGTTCAACTCTAACCAAGACTCTCTTTACCCTCGGTTTTTTCCCCGGTGAATTTATCGAGCATTCGAACGAGAGACACGCTTCGAGAAATTCGCGAAAACCCCATGGACCTCTCTCCTTTTCCTCCTTTTTGCACAATTAAGAGGCCAAGCAATGTTCCTCGCCGCGCTGCATGCCGGAACAGTTGATCTCAGTTGAAAAATTCTGCTGATCCAGTTGTCGGAAACTGAATTAATCGCAGATTTAATTGCACGGTGGATTATAGCACGTACTAGCTTTGGAGAAATATAGTAAATGAAGTCTTTAGATAAAATTCTTCAAGAATTAGTCTAGTCGTTTATTCTCTTTGCACTGGTTTCATTTAATTCATTCCTTGTTAAGGTTAGGTTAGTTTATATATTTACGAGTTTATATAAGACGAGTTTAACGAGTACAATAAGTACCTACCAATATGTTCAATTTTGAATTATTGAAAACTTCCTTCTATGGGTATCCCCTCCACATGTCCTCCATTATTGTACTCGTTAAACTCGTCTTAACATACACTATCATATTATGTATAAAAAAATATAGCATTCCATTTAAAAAAATTAAACTGACTTTGAAATCTCCCCCATCATACCAGGTACGAAAAAAATATTCACACCACATAACGTCCCCCTCCATACCAAACAACTTTTGTTAAAACATTTTTTTTCCTAACATCACTTCCTTGAAAGATATTTCACTGTACTGAGATAAAACAAACACCCTGTATACAATGTGTTCTATTATATTATACTTGAATTTTATTCAATGGAAAATGATAAATCGTAAAATTAATTCACTGCTTTCCGATGTTCTTCGATTTAATATTTGCATAGACTATAGTCAAATTACATTATAACTGTACGTTCTGACTTAGATTGTAAAAGGTTAATAATATATAATCAAATAATTTTTACACTTCGTATTTCAATGTTCGCAGAGTATTCAAGAAGTACTTAATAAGTTAAAATTTTAAATACACTTAGAATTTTACCAAGAAAGAAAAAGAAAGAAAAATTGAAGTAAATCGAAAATATGATATTGCAAAAGTTTGCACTCATGGGAGTAAACTATAGTGTTACAGTTCCCCCTGAACTGTGCAATTTCTGTTGCACAAATTGCCTCAGCTTCTATAGTTCCGTGATAACGAGGCAATAACAGTTATCGAATCGTCTTGTATATGATCTGTCGCTGTTATATATGGGATAAACGAGAATGAATATTCATCATGAGATTGGAATAGCTTGCACACGAACGTTCCGCTCGTACCTGACTTCACTTCGTAGTTTATATTGTAATACTGCAAACTACTGTGACTTTTCAAGTTGCACGCCTGCATCTCTCGATCATTAGGCCAGGTTGCCCAACAATTAAACTATCCAAACTGAGAATAATATTCGTGACACATCCATCAGTCTAATACTCAAAAATATCATTTCAAATTTGAAAAATTTAAATTTTCTTAACCTCGTCAAAAATACTGACACATATGTGTACATTTAATATTTCTGAAAATTCCAATATTCCAATAAAATAAATAGAAAAGTTCCAATATTCCAATAAAATAAATTCCAATATCCAATAAAAATATGAAAATATAGTGAATACATTACGCACAACCTCCTAACAAGAAAAACAGTTTAATTGCTATCGACTTGAAGTGAATAAAATATGACTACACGAAAAATCTTTTTTTAACTTTAAAAAAATCGTTCCTACACCATCGAGCAAAAATTTGAAAATAAACTATTGTAACATCGAAAATTCTTGTATTTCTTGAAGATAAACAATTATTCCGAATTTTCGTTCGATAATAAATTCTACATG